GTAGAAAAAATTTTATGTAATTACTTTTTATCATGTATCATGATAATAAATAATTTTAAATAATAATAGATCAAAGATATACAAGTTATAAATTTTAACGTGCCATGAATGGAGATTTATGTCATGATTCTATAAAAATAAAATCGATTTACATAATAAATTAGAACTAATCGTTATTACCTATCTATTACCTTCCTAAAAAAATTAATAACATAAAAAGAGATAGATCTATCTAATAAATCCATAGATCTAAAAAACTTTTCACAATAAGAAAAAAAAGATATCACTAATCTGTACAAATCAGCTGATCCAAAATTTACCGACCGTTTCGATGCAACAATGGCTGCTCCAGTGGTTATGTGTACATGTGAGGTTTGCTCGAAAGCTCGCACAACAATTCAACAAATCTTTAATGTACTAAATATATACGGCTGGTTGTTAGACTCGTATGTCGTGGTACGTAATTTAATAAAGCTTCTGTGCATTATTCCATATTTTAAGGAGTATTGAACCACATTTTTCTTTCAAGTCTAATCAATATACACGTATATATATATCTTTAATTTTTTTAATGAGTACTTACAAAAGGATGAAATTCATTGTAGGACTTCTTTCAAGAACGGCTATGGGAAAAGCTGCCGAAAAGCTGGAGGACCGTTCTGCAAACCGTCTCACCTGAAGAATTCGGAAAATGGTTAACTGGTGACATCTCTAGGTAAGCATGTTAATTTTTATGATTTGTGTTATCTTAGCAATGTGCAAGTGTTTACATGCAGAGAATTTAATCAATAGAACGTATGATTTGTCCATACGACTTTTTTCTCCTCTTCAATCTTGATGCAAATAAATTTCGAATTAAATATAAGCTTGTGAGAATTGAGCTTATTTGTTTGCTGTGTACAATTTGATTATTTAATTCACTTTGCAGCACACGTGTGTGGCCGTTGTCATTACTCGTGCTTCGACAGGTTATACAGCATTTACAGCTTAATAGAAATCATCGAAATGACGAGAACATTTTACGATGCAGCAAAGTAAAGAAATCAGAATATGATGACGATGAGAATTTTATTTTGGAAAATAAAAATAAAAAATTACACGACGCACATAACGTTTTGAAGAAACATGATAACCTTGTTTTGAAACATATTAAGATCAAAAAACGACATGAGATACAACAAATAACACAAGTATGCTTCAATAAGCCTTTTTGAAGTACTACTACTAGTTTACATGAGAAAATAATCCATGGATTTTGTAAAAATTAATTTGTGCAGATATGTACAGACTGTGCACAAGAATCGGGCACAAAGTGCATTGTCGATATTGGAGCAGGCATGGGTCATTTAGCTCGTTCTTTAGCATTTAAATGTGGTTTATGTGTAACATGCATTGAACAAGATGTATTATTGTCACAGCAAGCCAGGTAAACGTTAATTTTAATTATTTCTAACAATTTTTGTATGCAAACTGTAGATAATATTATTCTTTCATTATCATTCATGTAAGAACTTTTCGTTTACAGAAAATGGGATAAAGAATTATTGGTATCTCTATCTAAACATTTGCCTGACTTGCCTGTAGATCTGCCACAACATGTGTCACTCAAATTGGAAAATACAACCTTAGATCAGACAAAGACAATCAAGAATATACAAAAAATATTTTCTAATAATTTTAATTTAGATGAAAAGAAATCTAGGTTTGGCATTGTGGGGCTACATCCATGTGGAGATCTTGCAGCAATGTTATTGAAGCTTTACACATCTCAATGCGAAGCAAGATTTATTTGCATTGTAGGATGCTGCTACATGAAGTTGACATTTGAGTAAGTAACCTATATTGTAATATTATTTTTTAAATATACTACATGTGCTAAATTATGAAATATACTTAGGCATCCAGATGATGTTTTAAATGGATATCCACTTAGTAAATATCTGTCATCATTCACAAATCATAAACTATCCTACACAGCATTAGAAGTTGCATGTCATGCTATTGAGAGCTACTGTGATAAACTGAGGACTGGGAATTACGAAGATTTAATAGTTAAGTATCATACAGAAGTAGCACAGACTTCTTATTAACAAATTATATATTTTTCTTAGGTACATGCTTACAGAGCTGTTCTAGAAACTGTTTTAATAAAACGAAACAAGGAATTACGCCATAGTCAAGTAAAGAATGTCAAAGTGACAAAACCTATGACATTTGAACAGTTGAGTAACTTGAGTTTTTCAAGCTTCACCTTTTGTAGTTATTGAATTTAATTCAATTATAAATATATTATTATATGACAACAATCAAATGTGTCTTTGTATTTTTCAGATACTGTACTGCAGCAACTGCAGAATTTGAGCTGCATCTCCAGCTTAAAGATTCAGATTTTCAGAACCCACAAATAAAATATTATTTAAGCCAATGGCAACAAGTTGTAATATTTGGAGCATTGCGTACAATGTTGGCACCATTAGTGGAAACTGTAGTGTTGTTGGATAGATTTTTATATTTATCAGAAAATAATTTACCTCCTATACTGAAGCCCATCTTTGATGCCAGATTGTCTCCTCGAAATTTTATATTGTTTTCAGTGAAAAGTGTTGAACAGTCGCCTTCCTGATTATACCCGAATTTTTTAATTTTCTATCAAAATAAAATATTAAAAAAGTTAACCACAAAATTATGGTAAACATTTATTTTGTTTTTAATAAAATTGACTAATTTATTTTGTAATTAAATGTTTTAAGCATCTATTTTTTGCATGATTTAATTCAGAGAGATTATTTTTTCACACAAATGCGACTAAAACATAATTACATCCATTTCTAAAAATTCGTTTGGAATGGAAGGATCGCGTACAATGAAAATTCTATTTGAACAGAGAATAATACTAATGTTAGATGATCATTATATATAGATTTGGAATTCTAATTACATAAAGTTATATACCTGCGTCCGATTAATTCTGGAAATAGACTTATTAGACTTTATTTTCGACAAAAATGTTTAATGTAATTTCGCACAACTCGATAAACTGTAATAATACAAATTGAATGGCGGACCAATAAAATGCGATGCTCAATAATATTTATTATGCCGGATACACAGTACATCGGCATCTAACACACTACATTCGATGACCAATAAGAAAATTTATTTTTTAGAGTAAATATGTCGTCCAGCAAAGTTACTAGAAAATATGTTTTTCTATTGGATATGAACATTTCCTACAATGGTTATCGTTTTATCGTACGCAATGTAAATCGTGACTTAAGGCCTATCAAAATGTTTTACGGCGTCACCGGCAGAGTGCGTCGCGGTAGCCGGTCGCCTGCTCCGCACGAAGCGTTGGCGTTCGTCATCCGGCGAGATCCAGTTTCCCTTAAACCGCTCTCGCGCGTTTGTCTGTTCTCGTCGCGTCGTGCGTCCTACCGATTATTATTTTCTCCTCCTCCCCCCTCCCCTGTCCGCGCGCACGAGATCGTCGGCACGGTGTAGAGGAAACGCGAGCGGGTGTACACAACACGCTCGTGTCGTCGTTGCTGTTGTCGTTGTCGTCGTCGTCGTCGTCGCCGTCGTCGCCGTCGTCGTCGTCGTCGTCGTCGCCGTCGCCGTCGTCGCAGCGCCGAGTGTCCCGATTCAAACGTATCGTCCGGTGGTGCTATCAGGATGGCGGCGTTCAACGGAGACGGACCGCACTCCAAGAGACAACGGCTTGAGGAATCCGGACACAGGGTGAGTACGCGCCAACAATCGTCAATCACGCGTCTCGGTGGAATCGCGCGTTGCGGCGTCTCGCGTGATCCGCTCCGATCCGCTTCGCTTCGAGATCCTTGCTCCGCACGCGAAACGGACAACGCGCGTTCCGCGGCCGTCTCGCCGCGTCGTCGGCATTCGCACAACGAGGGGGAGGCGCGTCGCCATTTATCGGCGTAATGATCGCGGTCGAGAGCACGGCGGCGCGTGTCCCGTCGCGCGCGTCCGTGTATGCGAGTTTTCGGAGCGACGCGCGAGGCGCCATTTACTCGCGATTTCGATATTAAATTACGATATGCGTACACACATGCACGCAGCGAACGGGAATGTCCTCACGCATGAAGTTTCATGAATTTTCGGCAACTGCACCGTGACTTGTTGGTCAAAAATCTGAAACTATATCTTTGATTGATTGATTTATTCATTGTACATAAGTCATTGTTAATATTTTAACTTCGATCTCTTTCATAAATAACAAATGCTTAGAAACGTTGAATTGTCACAGATTGAGTCATGATACAAGAATATATAGATACGAAACACACGCTCTAATTTGTCCAAAAGAGGAGCAACTTCATGTGTCAAGGCATTCTGATCACCTGTTTATGACCGCGATGCAACGCGATGCATTGCCGGTTTGCTCACTTGTGCCTGCGTGTGCCAGATAACAATGGGCACATTCGCCGCTGGAGACAACAGTCGAGCAGCGATTCGATGCGATTGGTCATGTTATCTTCTTGGTACTCGATTGTCGTCGCTAAGCAGAATGTGAATACAGCGTGGGTTTCCTGCTGCGAAAAACGGGGGGATCTTATTTACTTCAGTTGTCTATCAATTTTTTTTAATATCTTGTGAATTCATCACTCAATCATCATCCAATCAAGCATCATTGTACTCTGTCAAAGAGTTACATTATCCTAATTTCTTTAAGTTGAATATTTTTATCTTTATATTTGGAAATATGAAAATTGTCTATTCTGGACGACGACTAACAATAAATTAACATCTGCATAGACTTTTAATATATATTTTTATACATTTTATGAACGATTTAGCGCTTTTATCAAAATGATCGGTTATTTTAAGCAATATGAGCAAATTGAAAAATAAGATTTTGTACGCTTTTTGATGTATTATCTAGTTACTTAGTATTACAAATATATTGCAATATTTTATAAAGAGAGGAAATATTCCGAAATATTACGAGAAAATAATTTCATTAAAGCTTGATATAAAATCGAATTTTGTTATCAAGCGTCGCGATCAGAAAGTAGAAAGCAACTTCTACGCGCCAATCGATACATTATTCAATTTTCATCTTATCAAAGATATACTATATAGGTTTTCCTTTCATATGGATTCTTCTATCATGCTATAGTCAACTATTTCTCAAGAAAAATGTCAACATTAGTAGCTTACAAATAATAAACTGAGAGAATATAATGTCATTCTTTTCAGAAATTACGTTTAATATAGAATAATGTAACTTTTTGACAGAGTACAATGATGCTTGATTGGATGAAATTCACAAGATATTAAAAAAAAATTGATGGACATCTGGAGAAAAGGTCCCCTGAAGTGAGGTCCCCCTGTTTTTTCGCAGCAGGAAGCCCACGCTGTATTTTTAAACATAGCAAAATCTTATTCTTTAATTAATTTTGATTCATCATAAAACGGTCACTTTAATTGAACATGCTGAATATTAAAAAATAGTGAAGTAGTAATTGACATTTTTGTTATATAAAAAATTTATTTTTTTTCACTTATTTTATCAGAAAAATGAATAAAAATATTTATTAATTTATCTTGCGGAATGTTATGAGTTAGGAATAAGCTTAATATAAGTATGATGTCACACAGAATAATTAGATCTCTATATTGTTAATGTGCAACTTAAAATTATATATTGTGAAATGAGATAGCTATATATAAACTCGCAAGGTCAGATGAGAGTGCAGAGTGCATTGGAAAATTAATTGTGTCCATATTTGTTTGTTCGCGATATTCACTTCGCATGCATTCGTATGATATCGCATGAAATGTTTATTAGCCTGCCTCACCTTGTTTATTCCTACGTTTGCTTTGTATGTGGGTGTAACGAAGAAGATAATTTTCATGTTTATTTTAAGAATTTCTTATTTGATTATATTGTCATCGAATGTTTTTCAAAGGTTTCAGAACTGAAAATATCCTTCCATCATCTATTATCTTTAGCTAACTGATAAAAGTCACTTCTATTATTAGAAGCTAAATATAATAATGATAACAATAAATTAAGCGGGCATATCTCAAGTTTATTGAATAATATGAATAATTTAACTCCGAGTAAAGTTCAGGCTTCAAATTCAATTTTATGCGTTTAATTATATTTATCTACATTAAAATAATTTTAAAGCACGCGAGTTTAGCGTTTCAGGCAATTTTGCATTCTAGGGCGCGCGTTAGACTAATAAACTCTGAATTTCACGGTGTTAAAGCACGCCGATGTCTCGACGGCAACCTGTTATCGAGACAATATAACGCTCTTCAACGTTGCGCGACGAAGCCGGCAGTCGCGTTATCATTGTCGTTAACAACGATGAGCAACACGAGGATGATGCACGTTCAAAACAAAGCTCCCGCGCGGGCGCACATTCGCACCATGGTCGATAATACACGTTATCAGCGCGCGATGCACGGCATCGCGGCGGACGCTCCCCCGAGATAACCCGCGACGTTTCGACGCGAGGAGGTCGCCGATAATAGGGGCAGGATTCCCGATTTATTTCTGTCTCGTATAAAATCCTTGCCCGATCAATAACCGATACGTGGAATTCACACGCGGTTCATATTTTATTATCCTTTTTTTTTATTCCGATATCTTCGTTCTTCGCGCTCTTTTTACGCGACCCCCTTTGCCTCGCGACAAAGCATACAATTGCTGTTTTTTTTGCCATATTTCGATTTATCGTGTACACTGAAAACGCATTATCGAGACACGAAGCGCGCGCAAATACGAAAAAGGGATTCACCCTTTCATCGCGATGTAACTTTGTCCCCATTGAGTTTGGAGATGCATCCGCTTGCCATTTATCGTCAAAGCAACAACTGGTCGTCGCTGGTCGTAGTGTATCGAATCGAGTTTATGATCCGGTTGCGCTAGCGGATAAATCGACTTTCGTTCGCGCTGTTACCACGCGTTGCACGAAGCCGACGTGGAACCAGTTTTACATCAGACGTAACGAATCGTGCATGCACCGTTCATATTATAGATCAAACATAGGTATCGTACGCAAAAAATAAATATCATCGCGCGCCAATCACGACATCGAACAGAAGTGTGCAGTTGCATGTACAGCGTTACGTTAAAGCGATTATCGTATGTTTCACACCGAAAGCTATTATACAGAATATGAATACTTTATCAGTGCAATGTTAAAGCGTTATAAAATACGATCAATAAAAAATATTAATAATAAATATACAATATAATCGAATAATAATGAAATAGTATTTTCAAAATAACGTTTATTGTATTCATTGATGATCAGTATTTAACAAAATTTGTTCGATTAGACAAGTCTATTTTTATCAGTTTTGCATTTTGTCGTAAAGGAAGATATGTCTGAGAGCAATGCAGATTGTAAATTAGAATACTATTATGCAGTTTATTGTACAAACTGAAGCGCTTATGGAAGCTTAAGATAATGCATAGTTTCGCCATGATCTAACTTTATACATAAAGGCTGAGTATCCAGGGAAGGCCACGTACTTGCATAAATGTATTAGACTGCTAACTTCCTTGTATACCCAGTGGAATCAACATAGATCTATAAATCCACACAGATCTATTTGGTGCATTTTCTATTAAACTCTTGCCTAATCTCTTTCTTATACTTTTTGTAAATCTATTAATATTCTTCTATATAATTCTAAGTTGAGACAATATACTAACTATTCCTTCAATTTAATATTAGAATTTACAAAATACATTTTTCCTAGTGAATAGTTATTTCTAATGAAACTTCTGTCTCGTCTAAATTGAGTTTAAATATCGGCAATTCGAAAGTGTGACTCATTGTCAGTCTGTAGTATAGAAGATGGGATATTCTTTGCTGACGTAGTTTAATACGTCGTTATCGACGTCTTGATTGTTAATCGATGGCTTTGGTGCCTGCAAACTTACGCTGCTAGCAGGCAAGGTCATTGCCATGATGACTATTACGGCCTTCTCAGTTACTACGCTGGGAAGACGCGAGTGATGTAAGAATGTATGTAATATCTTACGTGTACATTGCGAATAATGCTAGAACAGTATACATCGTATGTTGTTATGCGTCGTGACGCATCGTTAAAATAATCTCGTTTCTAATTTAAAAAGAAATCATTATTGCTCTATTTATAACTTTCTAATTCCTGGCGCTTAACAAAAAGATCATTATTGTCTCATTTCCAATATTCTGATATCAAGAACTTGATTAAAGAAAGTCATTTATGATTAATAAGCAAAATTGCTCTATCATCATAAAAATCCTAATAGTCTTTCGTAGGAATAAACCACTTCCACAATCCCATTACATTAAGAAATAGAAATGTAATTGAATAATCATTAACAATCTAACGATGTATAATTGGGTCAATAATCGTTACAATAAGCTTTTAGCCGTTTAAAATTGGTTTGCAAAACGACTGAATTAAATCGCACTCTGTTAGTAATGTTCAGGTCTCGGAATTATAGATACGAATATATCTCGGTGTCATTGTCTGCCCTGCTTATTAATATTTTATCTTACTTGCTATCGTTCGGAGTTACAATCTGCTCGACGTATAAGTTGGCGTCTCATAAATATTCCTACTTGAATAATTTATTAAACATAGTTAGAAAAATAGGAGAAATAATTTATTAGAAGAAAATAGCGACATGTAGGTATAAATCGCTAGAAGAGATTATCTATTAGTTATGTTTAAAATTTTTTAAATTTTATTAGCCAAATGCATTTTGCTGAACTTCTGTTAAACGTTGATTTTACTCTGTGGACATTTATTTCCAAAAATGTTTTTCGTTTCAACATTGCGACGCCAGCTCGATGAATTCTTCATATTTCGATATTCTCACATCCACCCGAAAAAAGAGTGGTGAATAAATATTTACTGTGATATCCTTCTTCCTTCGCGTGCACGGGAGAAGATTTAACGTCGATCAGTCGTTGCGGGACGCACGGAAACTCGCAGTGTTAGCACAATCGGACGAAAGTGGATCGCGAAGGCAAATTTACTTGCTTGAAGCTTGAACTTTGATGCAAACTTTCCGGGTGGCAAATCGATTCTGTTGTTTGAACTCGTTGCGTGTTATGCACCATTTTAATTTTTGACCCGACCTGAAATATTAATATTCCAAATTCTTATGATTCGTCTCACATTTTTTATACAATGTTTTTCTTCATAAATTGTGTAGTAAAAACGATTTATTGAATAATTAAAATACAATGTTTTTTATGAAAATACTTGTTTTGATATTTTTTTTCGTTGTTTTTTTTTTTATTACTTATTTGATATTTCTTTAGCTGAATAGTTGTAAAAATGCAATTAAACATATATTTTTATTTAAATGCAATTAAACTTATATTTTTATTTAAAAATTTATATTCAAAAATTGATTAAATAGAAATTACAGCATATTGAATAGAAAACTGCGTCTTTGCACGCATGTCATGTTATTAACAGATAGTTGACCTTATCGCGTGCTCTCGATTAATCCAACTTTTTCTCTACTAAAACCACTTCGCCAAAGTATGACGGAAGCATAAATTTCCCATGTGCTGTGACAAGTGTAGCGGGTAGTCACGATATTTCTCTGAAACGAATCTGTTCGTTCGCACGGCTTCGCCGGCTTTTGCAGGGAATGTCATTCGGCGGGAGTTGCGTTTCGCGCATATAGTTGCAACTTTTCCAGCTGTCTGCGCCGTATCATTTTACCCATCCGTCGCATACAAAATATGCGACGGAAAATACATTTAGGGCTTTCGCAGCTGAAGATTCATATATGAAAAAAACTTGAAAAAGAGTTTGAATTGACAGAGATGCGTATTCTCGAATAATTTACACTTGAATTTCTCTGCAAACTAAAAATAATATTTTAATATTGTAGTCATTTGAGCTATTTGTTCAAATATTGCGTTTAAAGTTGGCGTATTATTTTTTGAAAATACATTACAGATTATTCAGAGAATTCATGTTTTATTTCTAATAATTTTATTCGTTTTGGTAGATAAAAAATAGCTCTAGTTATCAAGTAAAAAATAATATCTCAGAAGAAACTAACATAAGATGCTAGGTTTACATTGTGACTCAATTTATTTTATAAGAAATTTTTAGCATTTTTTGTCAGGTTTTAAAAGCTATTGAAGTTTTATGAACGTTTCGACCCATTGGTATAATTTTTTAGAACAATTTAATATTATATGATATAAATATTTTAATACAATATAATACAACAATATAATATAAATATTTTATCCTTATTTAACCATGGAATACTTATTAAAATGTTTAAATACGTATAGAATTACATAAAAATGTTTTTAATTATTTATTTTATCTATCAAAAACTAAAGAATTATTAAAATTAAATTAAAACTTTTAATAGAGAGAGAGAGTTTATGAATTTTTATGAAATACTACGCCAATTTCAAACAAACACTGATATTGTAAGAATTTTGTATGCTAATAATCATAAAACTGCTGTGCATATAAAAATTTAGGAAAAAAGGAAAATATATTCATGATAATAAAATTTTGCCGTTAGTTTTCTCATTTGAGTCATAAAAAGCGTATAGCTATGAAAAGAACAAATACATTTCAAGTTCTTTCACATTTTATACACACATAACGACGCTAACGAGAACATAACCGCGTTTTCAACATAAATTCTTCTCATGCTCGCTTTTATGAGATTTAATCCGCGAACGCAATCTTCAACTTTTGACTGAAATTCGATAAACGATTCGCGGGATGATCTTTCTTGATCGATTTTGCTATTTCTTGCCGTTCGTTGTTTTCTGTCTTACCATATTGGAATTTGATTTTCGCGCAAAATTTATGCAAAATTTCTTCGTGCGCGATCGATCATTTCCGTCAGTCATCGTTTTTGAGGAAGATGTGCAAAGACGACCACCATAATGAAAATGGGCTCGCGTGTAGAGTGTCGATTGTCGTGTTTTATCTCTCGTGTTTCCGCGGAATTACGGCGCAACATTAATCGGAATGTACGATATTCGTAAGTATATACGCTTAGGATTACGCGGCATTCAAGAATAAGCGACCCACGGACAAGATGACACGAAATTTCGTCGGATAAAAAACGGTTTGAATCGCAAATTTCGTGGAAATTTATGCGCAGCTTCTTCAGAGTTGCGATCGCGGCGTCACGATCGATCATTTCCACCAATCATCGTTGATTGGGGGAAGACGATCGCCATAATGAAAATGGGCTCGCGCATAGAGGCCGGTATTCATAGTCCGTTCTTATATTTAAGATTGTCTTAAGCACGGACTTATATTCGCTCTCTTCGTCACACATAGATTGTGTCTGACAAAGAGAGCGAATATAAGTTCGTGCTTAAGACGATCTTGAATATAAGAACGGACTATGAATACCGGCCAGAGTGTCGATTGTCGTGTTTTGTCCCTCGTGTTTCCGCGGAATTACGGCGCAACATTAATCGGAATGCACGATATTCGTAAGTATAAACGCTTAAGATTACGCGGCATTCGAGAATAAGCGACCCACGGACACGATGGCACGAAATTTCGTCGGATAAAAAACGGTTCGAATCGCAAATTTCGTGGAAATTTATGCGCAGCTTCTTCAAAGTTGCGATCGCGGCGTCACGATCGATCATTTCCACCAATCATCGTTGATAGGGGAAGACAACCGCGCGAAAACGACCGCCATGATGAAAATGGGCTCGCGCGGAAAGTGTTAATTGTCGTGTTTTATCCCTCGCGTTTCCGCGGAATTACGGTGTAACGTTAATCGGAATGTACGACATTCGTAAATATATACGCTTAGAATTGCGCAGCATTGGAGAATGAGTAACCCACGGACGCGATGGCATGAAATTTCGTCGGATAAAAAATGGGTTCGCGCGTAGAATGTCAATTGTCGTGTTTTGTCTTTCGCGTTTCTACAAAATTACGGCGCAACGTTAATCAAGATGCACGATATTCGAAAGTATACACGCTTAAGATTACGCGGAATTCGAGAATAAACGACCTGTGGACGCGATGATACGAAATTTCGTCGGATAAAAAACGACCCGTAGCACAATACCAAGTTTTTCGTCGAAATTTATGTAAAGCTTCCTTGACGTTACGTCGCGGCGTCGCGGTCGGTCGTTCCCGTCGGTCGTCGTTTGATCCCTCATGAAGTCGACTACTGTGTTAGAGGTTAAAGTTTGCGACGGTGAACGTGCATTCCGAAATGTTTGCATTTTAACGTCGACCATGATAAGAGTTTCCGCGAAAAGCCCATTATATGTGTGAAAAATAGTCGCGAAATATCAACGTGCGGAAGTTTGTGTTCGGGAGTGAAAAAGTTGCGAAAACGATACGCGAGAAATCTACACCGAAATCGCGGTTATGTCTCTCTGTCGCGCGCGCGCGCGCGCGTGGGTGTATGTGTGTGTAAAATGTGAAAGAATTTTGATATGAACTCGAAGCAAGAATCCGTGAATGGTCCGCTGCGTTCGCCAGTTGAGGTTAGAATCTCGATTTTCTCGCTGGATGTTGCAGTATACTTTCGCAGCTACGAACACGGTGAGTGGCAGATATTGAGTCTTGTTTCTTTTCTCTTTCCCTTTTATGTGCTTAAGACGAGAAAGCTACTCGGCGGAACAGCCGTAAAGAACAAATATCATAAAAAGGGTAAACACACTTCACCTTTATATCGATATAAAGATCCCTTCGTTCTGCGTATCCCCGTGTCAGAAAAGAAAACCGACCTTCCATTTGTCACTCGTTCATTCTACCGTACGGAATGCAAAAAAAATATAGTTGCTCCGATGACACCACATTTATTACATTATCGGTCGTTTTTTAGCATCGAGCGAGTAAAAGTATCGATTTCTAAAAACAGCAGCTGTGTACGAATCGCTACGTGCGGACGAATCATCGGACGGTATCGGTCAAGTTTGCCAGCGCGAAGTCGAGCCGTCCCTCAAGCTCGGTGACACTTCTTTCTTTCCGCGAGCTCTCCTCGGTATGTCACTCTGTCGCGACCGAAATATCTGTACCTCAAGTGTACCCACACGTGCGCGTCGGTGCCTTGCAGCTACGTACGCGCGGCGTTTGCCTCAAAGTAACTCCAGAGCGGCGGACGATGATGTATATCTCACGCGAAAAGACCGATGCTTCGTCACCGTGGCGAATATTTGAAATCTGAGTACACAGAGCGTATCTCTTTTGCTCGCGCATCCTCGCTTTGCTCTCGTTAACCTGCACGATGCGGCCGTCGGACACTTCTTTGAGTACATGCGGTTGCGCGAATCTTGTGCATGTTAATTCGCTACGGTTGTAAAGCAGCGAGCGTTACATAGTCCCGTATCATTATCGCATATGATAAGATTGTGCTTATTTGGAGAAACGGCGCAATTAGTGATAATTATCGTATTTATCTTGAATACTTTTCACGTCATTTGCAACTTTCATAAGGCTACATTTATTATTTTTTGTTTTATCTCTTTAAAACTTTATTAAATTCTTCAATTTTAAGAAATAATTTATCGCGAATATATAAAACATAACACAAAATTAGTACGAGCTGTTAACAATTTTACGATGTAAATTATGCTTTTATTTTTTGTATTTTTTGATTGATTTTAAAACTTTATTAAACTTTCGATTTTAAGAAGTTATTTAATATCGCGAATTTATGAAGAATAACAAAATTAGCACGAGATGTTACTAATAATTTTTCGATGTATTTGAATTGCGCATATTACTAGCAAAATTATTGTATTGCACGTGTGCATTTTCTGGGTCAATGGTTTGTTTCTGGATATTATTCCTGCAAGGCGAAGATCATAATTTTGCGAAAACAATGCATCGAGTGCAAGTAATCGCAATAATATAACACACGTCGCGTAAGATTAATAGCGCATCCGTCGGCTGCGAAGAGCGACAAATTTCTCACTACGAAATAATCTCGCGCGTCTCGAAGCTCCAATAAATTCCCCGCCTACCACCTCGTTTCAACTGGAACACCGTATTCGACTAACTCATAGCTCGGAATTGCAAATGAACGATGACTCGGACGTGAGCGCAAATCCCACCGCTTTCTCGATGCGACGCAAACGCGCTGCTTTCATCTCGCTTCGTTAGTCGAATGTCCCGCACGGTTAGCCGGCACAAAAAAGGACAATCCGTGGCAACTCGCATTTCTTTCATTATCAGACGATGCATCATGCGGTTAACGAGTGCAGCGCCAACTTTGTACACCGGCTTTAACAAGCTTTAATGTATTTGTTTTCAAGAAGGCGAAAAAAAAAAACACTATCTGTTATGCTTGGGAAAAGTAAGAAATTGAAATTTTCGAGCGGCCGCTGTAAATATTGAAATGGAAATATACGAGCTTGTGCTGTGCATAGATTAAAAATATTACGCGCTATATATTACATAGTATCAAGTTTTATTTGCAGCTACGGAAGTTGTGGTGGTCTTAAACCGATCTCCCGCTGGTATGTTGCTCAGTCAGAGGTCTTTCTGATTACAAAGAGTTAATCCTTTGCGGGCGTATTATGTCTGGATGTAGGTCGCGTTAACCGGGATTATTTCGATGCACAAACGGCGATGTGTGTGTATATATACGTATACATATATATTTCGTTAAAGAACAGAATTTTACGAAAAATCAAACATCTTTAAATTTTATTTTAATAATTGTATTTGAACGACTATCTTATAAACATTATATTTTACGAAAGAATTTAACAATAATTTATTCATTATACTTTTTTATACATTTACTGCAAGATGCTGCCGCGATCTATTAATGCAGATTAGGAATTTTGGGAATTGTTAGAATTATAATAGAGTCGTGTTGTAATAAAAAAAAGTAGCGTAAGGCGAGTTAAAATCCTACTTTTGCGCGAATCGCGTGTGGAATTCGTCGGGCAAGCTATTTCGAGGCGGAAGTACGCATTTTTTTCACGCGTCTTGCTGCATTTATTTTGGTACTTACGCGCCCCGAAATAACCGCACCGAAATAAAATCACTCACCTTCGTTAACGAGCCGCTTCTCCTTCCAGTTCTTAAAAAACTGCATTACGCAACGCCCTAGCATATGATCACTGAAAATCTGTTAACACCTCTTTCGTCTTCATTATGAAAACCGTTCTATTAATTATCCTTAATTAATTATTCTAGAAATTTAATTATTTAATTTTATTAATTATTCTTAAATAAATTCTGGAACATTTTGAGATTATTCCAGTCGTTTTCTAAAAATACCGCGGACAACGTTAACTTCGTGTTACATAACGATTTTTTACGATCTTTTGTTAGCGCGTTCTATATACTACATTTAAATTTTCCTTTTTTTTCGGGAACGATGTGGCGTGCGTAATTCGTGCATTCTTAATCCAGATTCAACCGCTTTTAAAATCGAGATCGATTTTGATCTACATGCACGGCAGTTTTCACGTTCGCGGCACTCTCCATGCAGATTGTGAAACGCGAGCCAGATGTCCGCTTGTAATCAATAGAGGCGCGTGAACCGTGATACGGCACCGAGAATTTTAATCGCGCGGGACGGACATGTTTCCGCATGTGAATTACTCCCTCCATCCGTCCGACTATTTCCGCGAAATGCAAATGCGATTTTCTTTCTATGCTCTACATTCTATCGCCTTCTTTTGATTTCATCATACGCGCTAGAGTCATATGTACGCCCATTGCAAATCTGATGCATCTTTTTAAATTCGCAAACTTGATTAGCATATGTAAAGCAGAAGACCCGAGAATAGATAGGATGCATGAAGATAGGATCTGCCAGCTTGAAGTTGCATAATATACGCGAGCTGTTTCACATAAAGTCACTGAGTTTTGCATCTAAAAAAGAATATCGAGGCCAAAGTTGTTAAAGAAGAGCGTTTACAAAATTACACCGCCGAGTCGTATTTTGTTTCTCATCGTCACTAATTTCTTTCTGCAATTATTTTCTAATAAATTTTATGCATGATTAATTAAAATGTGCGTGACTCATCTCGCACGTGCGAATTGAATGGCCTTGCGCTTAATGAGCTAACGCAAACTTCGTTTTAAGTTATTATCGCCTAGAGTTAACGAGATATAGTGTACCTTCCGATAATGAAACAGCATTGTTTTTCCGTTCGACTAAGATAATCCTGTGCGATAGTAAAATTCTAAGTCTTCTTTGGTGTAAGATTTTTTGCCGATTTAACGTGCTGTTGCATAAAATCTTATCAAATTAGTAAATTTTATAAAAGTTTTATAAAAGAACGGAGTTTATTGGAGCGTTTTCGAATTTGTAATTTTTATATTTAGTAACATATCAAATTGACAATTTTACGGAAAGGTTGATTTTTAAAAGCAACTCTCGATATTGGATTTATGTCTATATTATATATATGTATTAAGTCTTTTCGATCAGAAATTTACACCTGACGGCGGGTGTTACTGTCAACGCAACGAAAAATCGTGGTCGCTCGCTTATCGTTCGTTCAATTGATCCCGATATTTCCGTTATTTCGACGAGAAATATCGCTTTTTCCTCCTGGAAATCCACCATTTAAACTCTTTATCAATGGCTCTTCGGTATCGCCGCGAATAATTGGATCGATTTCGTGATACGTCCGCCGCGCGAATAATATTATTTTTGCGTCGTTGCGCAGCATTTTGTAGTTTGAAATTACGATTTCCAAGGCAGTCCATAACTTAAAGTTAACTTAGATTTAATAACTTAAAGTTTGATAGAAAGCTGGCAAATTTGCGAAACATTTTATCATTGAATATGTTGTCTTATCGCGTTCTGTAGCTTGATAAGGTTTTCATAAGTGAAAAGTTTTTGTACTATATTAACATTCGTGCCATCTTTAGTAATATCAAGCAATAATAAATTCTGCAACGAATGAAGTGAACAAAGATTATTTCAAAAGATTGAAGCAATAATTATAATAAAAAATACCAACACAATAGAATTATGTTGCAATAACGCACGGTTTCATTAAAAAGTTTTAATTTCGATCTTTTGCTATTTCCATTTTCATCTGTAAGGAAATCTGAGGTGGAGTCAGTGCGAAGTATAAAGCAGTAAACTGCAGTTACAAAGTAGTTTCATGGGAAAGAACCCAATTTACTAAAAGTGTTATATACTTTCCACTTTAATTTCACCGTCGACCATCGATGAGAATGAAGAATGATTTAAATTGTTTGAATTTTAGCGCTAAGTACAATTTTTATACAAGCACCGTTTCACCGTTTCGATTATTAATAATAAATCGCAAAATGCAAATCGCATATTATACTCTTATATTTCTATTGCACTTTATAGATATCGTGATTTAAAATCCGCAAAGCGTATTTTTTACATCGATATGCACGTTGCGTGTTGTACGTGTAGTATCGCGAGATCACGAATCCTGATTGGACGAGGATTCGCAATGAGAAATCGCGTTAGCTCCAATATCGGATCCTGGATCTTCAAGATTGCGCGAAAGCTCGTCTTACCGTCCCCTCGCCACCTCGTCTCCATTGTCGCCGCCTCCTCGGGTGAACGTGCACGCGTTACGTCATTGAGA